GCAGAAAATCGCAGTAAATTGAAAATTAGCGTATTTTTCTTAGATAATGAAGAAAAATTAACGAAAAACAACGAAAACGCTCCAAACAAGTGCGATTCAGCTTGAGCTCGGTAGAGACCTATTGCGAGGAACATTAGCGAGCTCCAAGCATACAGGGTGGTGAAAAATTATGTGTGACATTTCGCTTCCCTTTGAACTTGTATGAGCTGTATGTATGAGCTTTGTGTGCTTTTTCTTCTCAAATTGCTTGTATATTGGTAATTATCGGTCTGCAGAAAGAAACAGTTGTTGTTCGAGAAATACCTGTTCGAGTTGAAACACGACTACGCGTGAAGGAAACGGCAGGACTGAGAGCTTAACGATTTCTCCAAGGCTCTGCCACCACAATCCGGACCCCCTGATACATCCCCAGGTTGACCATGTGCTGCTTCTCCGCAACTGGCTCTTGTTGACAAAAAGAATGTTCACGAACACCTAATATCATATTCGTGAAGGGCGACGAAAACGAAGAAGGAGACGCAATATTGAGATTTCCGCAACTGTGGCCGAGAATTCTGATCTTTCCGATGACTCGTTCACGGAATCAGAGGATATCGAGGTTTTGATTCCAGAAGAACTTAGAGAATACGCAGAAAAGGTAATCATATTGAATTCAAGGCTCCTCATTTTAGCTAAATTAGATTGCAATATCTTAGATTATTATTGGGAAGCTTTCACGTTTTGGATTTGGACGATCCCTCAGACTGAGCAAGTTAGGCTTCTATTGTGTTGCGATGGCCTATGTAGCAAGTGTTCCCAATTTCATGATGTTCAATTATGCCGTCCGCAGACTGGGATGTGCGTAAGCAGTTAAAGAAGTTACGCCACTATTTTCTGATCTAAGTGTTCCTGTGAGCTTGAGATCCACAACTTAGCTCTAGAATAATCAACTGATTGCAGTTTCTTTCATCTTTCCGTTCATTTGCTGTATGATTTTTATCGGATTCCCAATAACCTACCTAGAGTTAACTTTGGGACAATACACTCAAGGAACTGCGCTCACAATATTTGATCGTATCGCACCGATCAGTTTCGGTAAGTTTCAAAAAAAGCTTTCACACTCGAACCCACTCGAATGAAACATTTGTAATGTACCTGATAGGTGTTGGTGTGTCGGCCACTATACTACTTATGGTGAGCACAATAATTGACAACGACATAATGGCACGCATGTTCCTGACTTTCTCAAATTCGCTGGACATATTCGGCACTGAACCAGATTGGTACGATTGCGCCGGAACTAATGTCAGAGAAAGTGGGTAACATATGTCTATGTAGAATGACTCATTTAGCTAGCGGTTTTTTGATCGCAGTTATAAATCTTTTTCACTCATCATAAACGTCATATGGGGTGGATGTGGGGTCGTGGCAATTGGCGCTGCCTCCCACCCGCACGGTCCGGCGATCGAATCCTGGATTATGCACCGTTCAGGACCTTGATAGTGGGAGAGCTTATATTGAGGACTGTGCTTCTACCTGTAAGATATGCCAGATATCTCCAAATAATTGAAAACAGAAGAGATCCCGCCCTCTATACCCTCACACGACAATGTAATATGTGAACTGAGCCAGCGTGATTTATGCCTTTGAAGAAGTATCGACAACGACGCTGAACCCTCAGAGCGAGTGCTTACATTTTTTATAAGCAGCAGATGAAATTAGCCAAATGCAGGGATCTACAAGTGAGATGAGATAAAACTTCCTATCCAGGGAAATGTCTACGCTTTGATGCAAACTGCTCACTTGACATATTGATGACTCGCACTGCATCGGATCAATTCGAACCATTTTTTTTTCAGATTGCAATTCGATCCATAGGAACTGTATCGGCATTAAGACTCCCACAGCATGGGCAACGTATTCGAATGATCGCTTTTCTTTACGGTGAGCGACACATAAGCAAGCGTCTTCAGAAAGAATACAAATCAAAAAATCGAACTACTACGAGATTTTTGCAGAAGCCCGTTTTATGTTTTCGACAAACTATATTTTTATAGCTTACAGTACTGATGCGTAAGACTGCTTTCATACTTTGCGCCGTTGTGGTCTGTGCGGACGGTGCGGATACTGCGAAGAGTGTCAGCACGTGCACTGGCGTACGACGTGTACTTGGCGCACAATCGTCGCCTTCCAATCGTAATCTCAATTTAATTATTTTCTATTTTTAGCTGTTCCACGTGCCGTGTTACTTTACTCATATTTTTTAGTAGGAAACATTTCTTTTGTGCATGAATCATTGTTTTCAATTGTTCCTGAACAGGCAGCGTCGTGAGGTACGTTTGGAAGCGTAGTTAAGCTCTCAGGTGAGTTCATTTCAGCACAAAAACAATACTCTATACAAAAAAGAAAGTAAAAAGACACAAACGAAAGCAAAACGGCACGTAAACACCTCAAAATATACCGAACAAAAAAAAATAAAAGTAAAATTATCGATTGAAAAGCGCTGGTTGTGCGCGAAGTACTCGTCATGCATCAGTGCTCGTGTTGACATTCTTCGCAGAACCTCCGCGCTCTACGCAACGTCCGCAACGGCGTAAGTGAAGACAGCCAAACTGTTTTGGATTTTCGCGTTTTGCACAGTTCAAACTCTGTAGCCTATTACGCCTTTGGCGCAAAATGATGTGAAGAAAAGGATCCCATCTATTTTCCGCAAGGTACTTCGGTTTGAATTACCTTCCCGAAATTTGAATGGAATACGTGCACGCACTGGCGATACGGCGGCCTGGCACATTTCTAACCGGCTTTTGAACGCTACTTTATCTCTTGCTTACCAGGAAAGGGTCATTAGGCCAACCCGGCCAAATGAAATGAGGTGCACATTTCTGTACGCAGCATGAGACGCTGAACTCAAATCTGCTTTCACTATCTGCTGAACTCTTCTCTGAAAGGAGTTACGGAGGGTTTTTGTTGCCGCCCTTGATTTTCAGTGTTTTACCTGCAATCACATGTTAGCCGCACTATAAAAGTATCGAAAGGAGAACCGAGGCACTGGTGTGAGGCCTAGGTAGCGCAGTTGGTAGCGGTCGTGTTTCTCACGGAGGGGGTCGGGGGTTCGGTCCCTTACGGGGTTTGTTGTTTTGCTTTTTTTCCAACATGGCTGAAAAGCCTTTTTGAATCTGTTATTTTACCAATGGTCGCCCGACGCTACATCTACGAAGAGTTTGCAAGCTGACCCTCTTAAACTTAAGCACTACTTGTCTGTGAAAGCCTATGGTGCCCGTAGTGCAGGTGCTATGCTTTTCCGTGGCAAGTAGGTATGATATTCGTATTCAGGGGATCAAACTACCCCTTACAGCGAGTTTTTCGCCAAATCTGAGGCGACGAAATAATTGAGAAAAAGCGGGGCAGTGATGGGATTACCACTCCTCAAACTCCACTTTTTTGGGTTGACCAATCATGGACGACGGGGGAAAGGGGAGAGAAGGTGTTGTATTAGGAAATAATGGTTTGTAGATCTTTGGATGATGCAGACGGGCAAGCCAGACACAATTTTCGTCTATTATGAAAAGTTTTTAAAAAATTTATTCTACCCAAGTGCCAGCCTTTTGTAATGGATTGGTGGATCGGTGAGTAAGTGACTGCCCAAATTTTCGAGGTTAGGTCAAAATTTCAGAATTCGCTAGAAGTTCGCTCAAAGGGAGAGTCTGACTCCCTGATTACGAATATCATACTTGTTCGAAGCAAAAATGCCTGGCGCCTGCGCTACAAGCGCCCAAAGTGGTGAGGAGCGGTGCCGCCCAAGTTCATTATTAATTGCCCTCAAATTCTTTTTACTGTTAACTATACGCAAGCATGTCGGACTAGCAATGTTAGGAGTCTTCCTAGCTATCTTACTGCAAACGGCAAAAGAACAAACTCGCCAGGGAGTTGATCCCCTGACCTCTTTTTCGTGAGCCTCGACCACAGCCCCTGCGCTTTTCTGCTTCATAATTCCTTTCAGAGAAGAGTTCAGCAGATAAGGAACACATATTTGAGCTCAGCGTCCCAAGGCGCGTATACACATATACATCTCATTTCAAATGGCCGGGTTGACCAAATGACCTTTCCTGGTAAGTTATTTCTAGTGTACCCTCTATTCTATTCGTATGTTAGTGTCTTATTTTGTTCTGTTACTACTCTGCTCTTTCTTACAGCGAATCTGCTGTCGCGCGCATTAGAAAGTATAGTACTGCAGGTAAGCGAGTTGGTTTAGATGTACCAGTCCTCCTCTCGAGATTTACACAGGTGTTGTGGGCTTCCATCTACACAACTCTGCAAGAGGGAAGCTAAAGCTGCTTGTTTCTTATGAAGAACAAGTAACTCGGTGGACTAGTGAACGAATATCCTTTTAACTTCCACTTAGTTTTCACATAGAATCATTTAAACGCTTTAGCCTGTTAACTTCCTGCAGTCTTGTCTCACTGTTCCTATTTTTCGTGCATTTTTGATGTGAATGTCCGAGAAGTATGTCCACAGGCCAGTTCATGTATCCTATGTGGTAGGTAAAATGCACTCATTTCACCAGTTTTCTTTCGTGTTTTCCTAGGTGGTCGCGAAAAAACTGCTACGCGATCCCTTTGGAAGATCTTGAAAGAGGCTAAAAGGTGATTGAACTTAGTATGAGTGCAAAAACATTTGTGCTATTACTTGACAACCCCCTGAGATGTGAAACGTGTGCAACATGAGTGTTTCGTACCGATCTTTTCTTCTCCACTCATACCTTTCGTCATGTCTTTTGTCTAAGCGATTTGCTCAGCCTGCTAGCTCTATTCATCTGTAAGAAAATGTTTTCTGATAGCGCAGTATTCATCTGTGAGGAAATGTTTTCTGATACTTACCACACCTGTCCGATAATTGAGAGCAATCCGTATTAACCACATTTACAAATATACTTACAATTTATAAGTAAGTAGCTACCGACGCAATGTGCCTCCGCGGGGAGCAGTCTGTCGGAAGGCCATTGGGACTAAGCCTAACTAAGAGGGACGAATTCCGAAGGGGAAAAATTACTTACGCAGCTCAGATTTCCGTCTTC